CCTGAATTTTGCTTCAGTTAAAAAGTTTTAATCTTATCAACTTTTAGTGAGTTTATTGACAGGTAAATGACTTTAAAGATAAAATAAGAAGATATTGCTACAAAAATTAAATAAAAAAATTAACTGTTATAATATTTGTATCATTTTTATATCATATTTAACGGATTAAATTCTTGACGGTCACGTGATAAAAACAATCACGTGTTCTCCATTGAATTCAAAATTAACATTTCACTTATACTCGTTGCAAAATTTAGATAAATTTCAAATTTGATAATTAGGTATAGATGTTGAAATACTAAGATTCTTCAAAAAGCCTTTTAAGATTAAAAAAAAATCTAATATTATACGTGTACTTTTAAATCAAGCGCATTTTATTTACCTATGTGATGTACTATTGTTGACAAATACGTTCTATTTAAAAGCACGTTACCGCGAGAAGTCAAATTTGACAACAGCGAAGTGCATGAACTGATCGGTCGAAGCCACGAAATTACATTTATCATGTGAATAGGGCATCACATGAATTTATCAGCTGATTGGCTGGAAACACTTGTTGCAGTTATCATGTGACTATGACGTCATATGAATTGAGCCCGATACACCTTCTATTAATTAGATTGCAATAAAAATGGTATTTTATGAATATCATGTAAATTGTATGAATATTATGTATCCCGAGATAATATATATTTTAACTAAACAAATTATATAAAATTTGCTGCTATTATTAATAGTTCATTTTTTCATAAGCAATTATTAGTAAAAATGACACATTTGAAAGTAAATTTCAAATGCTTATTAAGTGAAATGAAATGCTGAGATTTCAAGTATTTACATTATAAAATGTTAAAATTATACATAATACTCTTGGTTTAATTTTCCCTCAGCTAACTAATTTAGTTTATAATTTATATATACTTTATAAATATACGGATATTCGAATTTTTAGAATGCATTTAAACTCCTTCTATCAATTCAATTTTTCCTATTTTTTTATTAATGCAATTAAATTAAAAATTTCCTTAAAAGATTTTTGTGTTTTTTTAGTTGCTTAGTAACAAATCATTTGTAAATTTTGTTTGTAACACTAGAGCTAATTTAATATTAGAACACTTCAGAAATTTTTGCCAAAATAGTTACAATAATATGCCAAATTGTGGGACGATAACGTTACATTACGATACCATTAGATTGGCCACTGAAGATCTATTTGGCACGATTTTAAATCACCTCAAAAACTAATAGCATATTGATATCAAATTAGTACAATAGCATTGATAATTAAATATTAGTAAATTTTTTTAAAATAGCAATAAAATTTATTTTAATTGAATTTTCTACCAACATTTAATTTAAATTTTTACTAACATATCTAATTAAGAGCAGTTGGAAAGCTAAAAATTTATTTTTTGACAATTTGAGATTTTAATATTTTTAAATTCTATAGATTTTAACCTTTCTAAAAACACCTTACTTTAGCCTCTAGGGTAATTAGAAGCCCTTAAAACCTATTTTTAAATAATCGTTGAAACTGGGCCACGCCCATTTGAATGTTGTGAAAAATGTAAACAAAGTACTTCGTTTTTACTTAAAAGTTGAACGTCTGATATAAACCAAAACATGTACCTTTTAATGTAAATTGAGCCTTTTATTTTTTCATTTACTAGCCAATTAGAAGCCACACACTGTATACATTAAAATCAATTTATCTCAAAATATAAATATTTTGATGTTCGATATACCTTTTCTGAGAAACTACTGTTCACAGGTATGTAAATTTCTTATGATATATTTTTAATGATGGCTAATATATACTAAAATGAGCTTTTTGTAAAGAACCCAAAAATTTATTTTGTACAAATTTTTTATGTGAAAAATGGGTCAAATTTCACAAAATTTTGATAAAATATTACATAAATTATTAAAAAATTCAAAATTAGCTAAAATTTTATTTCAGTATAATGAGAAAGGTGTGCTTTAAATGTATAAAAAAATTTCAAGCCTGTACATATAACAGAATTGAAGAAAAGGTACATCGAAAACAGCCAATTTAACATTGTCAGTATAGAGAGAGGTTTTCAACTCCCCTTTTTTTTAAAAATATGCTTCAGTCACCATATATTCCTTTAATCAATTTTAATTAAAAATTATGAAATCTGAAAACAAGATTCTAAATCTAAAAGCATCAAGTTTTGTTACACGGTTTTTCTCATAAATTAATCTATTAAATATTATGATAGGAAACATTCACATAAATGAATAGTTAAAATGAATATATATATATATATATATATATATATATATATATATTTTCACACTGCTCATACATAAATTCGAGAAAAGCATTCTCAAAAAAATTCTCTGGTACAATAGTTAACATTAAAGGTAACATATTAGTCTTATTAAATGATTTATTTTCTTCACTCTTCATTTTTAATAATTAGTTTTTACGAATAATTAAACAATTATCAATTACTTTTGTTAGCTTACAAACAATCTAGTAATATGTTAATTTTTTTAACCAAATAAGGATTAAAGGAATTATACCTGTGGACAGTCTTTTATGTAGTGTCCTTTCTTGAAGCAGAGGTGGCACAAGTAGCTGGGTGGAGGTCGTTTGGTGGGTTTGTTGCAATCAAAACTGAGATCATTAAACAGATCACTGAGTTCATTGATAGTTCCCACTGGACTGTTGTAGCCCCCGTTTGTATAGCCTCCGTAACTATTGGAATTGGGGAGCCCGTTGTAGATTGGTGACATGCCATATTTAGTCTGCAATACCAAAGAGGAAAAAAATAATTGTTTATGCGTTTTAAAGTTGAAAAACATACACAAAAAGGAATATTAAGCTAAATGTTTTTATACCTATAGATTTAAGAAAAAGAAGTCGGTGGTTTTAAAAATAAATTATAATCGTTTTACATTCATATGTTCAATCTCAATTACACATAATGAAGAATTTGAAGTAAACTACAAGCCTTCAATTCTTCAATTTTTTAGTAATCTGCAGGCATTAACATTTGTGTTCTATGACATGAATAAAATGCAATATTAATGAAAATGAAATTTGCCTAGTTACGGTATTTTCCAAATATAAGCCAATTTATGTATAAGCCAGGAGTGCGTTTTGTCTTCAAATTTTTACCCAAAATTTTAACCCGCATTAAGCTGAATTGAAAAAAAAAAACTATTTTTGGAGAAATAAGCGAGAAGAGAAAATCCCTATACTGAATGTGATCGTGGACCAATGTTTCATTACTTGGAGGAAAAACTCGCTGCATGATTATTATATGCATTCAGACATTCCAATGAGGGAATGTGAATCTTATAAATTATTCAGTAACTTGAATTCAGATACTAAATTTTAAGAATTTATTTGACTTTTTTCTCTTATAATAAAAACTATTCAAAACACCCAAAAAGTCCAAAAGTTTAAATCGTTTGGGCATGGCTAAAGAAAAATGTTGAAAGAAAAATACCATTTTTTCTAAATAACTTTTTTCCTGAGATTATCAAATACATCAAGCCAATCCCTTATTTTATCTTTAGAAAAGTTTTAAAAATTATCGGCTTATACACGGTGTACACAATAAGAAATTGTTTCTAATTTAGTTTTAAAATACATGTTTTAAATGTATAATATTTGATATTCAAAAACACTATTAATACTTTCTAAAATAATAAATATTTACTTACATCTGAACTAAAAAATGATCGGTAATGCAAATTTTGACATTAGAATTGCTTGTACAGTAAAGTCGATTCTAGTTCAAGAATCTTGTTTACAGTTAAAAAATCAAAGAATGTTTTGTCTAAAACCGTGTGTCTTTATAAATATGTAAGCCTGAAAGATTGATATTCTATCTGATAACACAATATGATAAGAGAAATCTCAATTTTAAGTGGTTATAATGGATGATTAAAAAACTATATCTCCTTGTCATTATCTTCAAAATAAACTAGTTTAAATGCACTAGAAAAGCACTTATTTTTAAATGTTTTTAAATGATTTTGGTTTTCTAGGTCAGAAACAGATATCATTAATTTTCATATCTTAAGCCGAAAATATGTTTTGTTTGCTTAATATCTTGAAGTAATCTCTACATATTCAAAAATAGGAAAGTAAGCCTGTAAACACAAACCTAAAATTTTCATTAAAACTATTCTACTAAATCTCATGTGCTAAAACAAAAAATTAATACCAGAAATATGTTTTAAAATAATTTTAAACTTTACATACTTTATTTTAAGTTGCAAAGGAGATAGATAGCCATATATAGATTATACTTTAAAAATAAAATGGTAAATAAAAGGAATCGGAATTAGTTTTTTCAACTCTTACTTCTTTAAGATTGCACAAAAACAGAAATATATAGTCGTCAAAAAATGAAACACTCAAAAAATTCCGTGAATCCTATAGAAATTAAGTAAAATTGGTATTATTCTTAATATCTCAAAGGGAATTAAATTATAATGTTAATGAATTAATATATAAACTTAATTAACGAAGAAAATTTATTTCTGAAATAAAAGAATTTTTTTTCTTTATGAAATAAATTCACTATTTTTACAAAACTATGTAGAGGATGATCCACCTATATAACCTACATTCTTAACTTCATTCGAATCCAATTATAAGTTCCAAAAAAATTATATATATATATATTTAAAATATCCACTAGGATATTATACACTTAATTACTTCACATACACAATTCATAAAATTTTACCTGCATTGTAACACCCCGAATTATAAATGAATCAATATTTGAACATTAAGGCTAGTCGTTGATGTGTGTTTTTATCCTGGCTACATATGAAACACAAGTGTGAAAGAATAGAAACATACAATACAAATAGAAGAATATAGACATTTACTACAGATGATGATGATCATCCCAGCATGTAATAAGAAGAGGTGGGCTGCTTTCCTTTCGAGACGGAAATCCATTACAGGCGAAAGTCCGACTTCTTTTTTCCCGAAGAAAATACAACCATGCCTTACTCGGGATTCGTACCCGAACCCACTCGATTAAAAATCGAGGGTCATATCCACCATGCTGGCTGGGAGGCATTAAGGCTAGTATACACCCTGTTAAGGTACCCGACTACTTGCAACAACTTTTTTTTTAATGGAGATATGGGGATTTTTTTGTGGTTTATTTTTAGATTTATTTAGTACATTTTAAGAAAAAAAGGCTAAAATTAAGAAGAAAAAAAAATAAACTATTACTACCAAAATGGGAAAATATGGGTAAAAATTAACAAATAAGGGCATAAGAGGGGCCCGCTCTGTACAAATAGCAAATGAACAAATTCTCAATTTTTAAATTTTGATGTATTACTTTGATATTCCTTTTTGAAATAACTTTCAGGATAAGAGATATTTTAATTTTTACAAAAATTAGAGCACTTTATCTTAGGTATTATATGAAGTTGCTTAAAAAAACAGTGATTATATTCACGTAAGAACTTTAAGTTTTGTAATAAAACAACGATTGATAAATATGAAGGTTAAAACACTTCTACTGTTATACAGAACATACACACAAAATTTCAGCAAATTATTTTAAAAACTTTTTGAGCAATCGCTGTTTTTGTTTGAACTTTTCGAAAAAAAAAACACATTTCGAGTAAAACGTACTTTAAAGTTTGACATTTTATGTAAATTTATGGCATCTGCTTTTACTAAAACACTTGCAGTTTTTGTTCTAGTGAATAGAAAATAAAACACTTGGTATTTATTTTTATAAAGCTAATAAAATGGCCTATAAAATAAAATCATAAAAAAATTTGGCAAAATTCACACAATTTTAGGGTAGATAGATACTTTAAGGCTCTGTGATTTCCAATCATAAATTTGGCCTTGAATATTCTCTGAACAATATGATGAATTCCATGAAATTTTGAGTTTAAGGGTTTTGTGACAAGAGGAATCCAAGTTTCCAAAGTAAAAAAATTGGGTATGTTATAAATTTCTTCCTTTTCCTAACTTCATAATATTAGTACTTCCCTAATTTTTAAACATAAATTAAATAATTTTAAATACATATTAATTTTTAAATATAGATAACTTTTCCAAATCTAAAAATAGTTATCTATCAATCTGCATAAGCCTCTTTAAAAAGTATTGAGTAGAATGCTCCCTATCGTAAAAGCGATTAATTTTTTTTTTAACATTAGGTACCCATTTTTAAGCTCTCATAGCTCAGGAACTTATATTTATAGTTTTGTTACTTAAAATTGAACTTTTTCCTGTGTGATGAGAATCAGTTTTATTTGGGGAAAGGGATTAATAATGAAAAAGTTCAGTTTCAGTATTTAATTATGTTATTAACGTATTCACTAATATCATTTTTTTATTTATATTGATGCATGAGTAGTGGTACTAATTCCATCCAGCAGTGATGAGAACTGAGAAAGTTATTACAGATATCCCATTTTCTAAGTAATTTGCCTAATAACTATTTCCAAACATTTTGTTGTAAATTTAACAACAATTACACGGCCTAATGATATGTTATGAGTCATTTAAAACAGTGATGAGATTGCTGGATCCACTTTTGGAAAAGGACACGAACACAGTAGCATGATGAGGTAAACACCCAATCCATTTCTTTTACTCCAAATGTATTGTAACGGGGCCTTATCGCACCTTCTATTAATCCTCTTGGGGAATCTTTGGGGCCAGAATGGCATTTCATTCCAACCTTCTCAGGAAGAAAACGCGATATGCAGATTAGGAATGATTATATATATTGGAGCTTTTGCATTCGCATGGAAGTCGGCTGGAGGCCAGAGAGTATTATAAGAGCCATATAGAAGTCGGTTAGAAGCCAGAAGGTGAATAGAAGCTGGATCAAGTTGCATAATAATAATATATAGAAAATAAAAACTTGGTGGTGGATCGCCGTGTGATATTGGTAAGCGATAGATTATTAAAGTTTAATTATAGAGCGGACTCTAGCTAATTAAGGAATCGGCTATAGATAAGGATTCGGAGGTTAATTTATCATAAAGATAGTGAGTAGGATTTAATGAGCTAGTTGCTAAGAATTGTTAATTACGTCATATCACTCCTGATCGTTTTTCTCTAAGTAAGACTTGTGTTGCTTTGCTTAATATATATTGAGATAATAATAAACTATATTTATTATGGAAGGTTCGAGTGGTCAATCTTTTATCCCTACAAATTTAGGTCGCGTGGATGAAGAGATGATACCCCCGGGTAGGGGGGTATCACAGTATATGCAGTGTAAGATAATTAAAATCCGATTAGATTTAACACAAGTAATAGTCTTTTAATCTTCCCGTACTATGATAGCCCATACACCTTCGTCTATCAGGTTACTCTGTCTTCAGATCTTTAAAACCTTTATTTGTAAACATTGCTATCTTCATTATCAATTAAATAGAAATTATTTCCAACTGTTTAAAATATTTTCTTTTCCAAAAAAGAAATACTAATTGTTTTGTTTATAAATTTACGTTACAGTAAATGGGATAAATGTATGCATTAAAATATATCGTAAGTTATTGTTTTCGCTAGACATTTTTGATCTAACTCTCTATTTTCAGAATTTTTGCGTTTTAAAAATAGTTGAACTTTTTCCTCTTCAAATTGAAACAACTTTAAAAATATATAATACAAAACAAGAAAAACTTCTAATTTTAATTAATTTGAGATATGTAAATCGAATTTTTCACTTTATCGGTTGATATTTTCATCTATAATAATTCTCACTAGATTAGTTTAACCGATTGACATCACGATAGAATAGTATAGTTAAATAACCAGTGGAATATTGACTTAAAATTTCTAAAAAAGATAGCAAGCACTAAAAAAAAAATTCTTATACTTAAAATACTATGTGCGTGTTAATCACTCATAAAATTTCTGTAATTGTAAGAGAAAAACAGAACAACTTCGAAAAATTATAAAAAATTCTCTACTGAACTATAAAAAATTATGGAAAATATTGTAAAACCGCTTATTCTACATATTTTTTGTATATTAAATTATCAACAACATCTTAAAAGGAAACCACTGTATTGCATGTCCACAGTCAGAAACCGGAAAGCACATATTACATAAGAAGGAAATTTTAGTATAAGAATGCTTAGTATAAAAATTTAAGAACCATGTAACACAGATTTAAAAAAATATTTCTTAATTTAAAAAATGGAATTGTTGCCGTAAAAATGCAATTTGCATTCATAATTGAAGAAGAATTGTGAGATTATGAAAATAATGAACTTTTTTTACAATAATGGATAATTACATTGAAAAAATAACGTAATAATAGTGCAGTTATGCTATCATGAAGGGTTATGAACACACAAATGAAATTTCTATGGCCTATCAATACATATGAAAGTAAACTTGTAGATGTTGTCTTAATGTTATGGATTGATATATCATCCCAAAATTCAGTTGCTACAATGTGTTAAAGAAATAGATATTATAGATTTCTTCAACAGATGTAGTCAAACTGTTAGATTATAGCTGTGTATTTAAAAAAAAAGTTATGCACTGAGAATACATTGGAACTAGAACTCCAAAAGATATGAGCATCAAAATACCTGCCTATTTTTGTGTTCTGAGAGAAATAAAAAAAAAGAACTCTTACAGAGCATCAAATTTCCATGAAGTTCAAAAGGACAAGCACACAAAATGGGCTTTAAATGTAACATTTAAAACGTCAAGAAATTTGTGTGTGTGTGTGTGTTTTCTTTCATCTCTTCTGCCTTTTAATATAATTTAAAGGAATAGAATTTTTTTTAGTAGCTGATAGAAAAAAATAACTTTTTGATCATGATTATAAATATGGTTCCTCATCATACAATATAAATATGGTTTATACACAGAATAATACTTATCAGAATATATTTTCCTCACGTTTCAATGCATTATCACAAATTCAATGAAATTCGTTAACATAAGAAAAAATATATTATATTTTAGCTACAATAGCTGAAAACAAAAAATATTTGAAAAATGGTACAGATTCCAGATCAGAAGATTTGATGGATATTTCATTATGTTGTGCTTGCTACATTGGGTGGAGCCGAAAGAATTTTTAAATACTAATCGCTTACTGATCTCTTAGTGGCTCCTTCTACTATAATCTTCCAAAGTTGGCGATCTCCCAAAAAGAACACACAGATTAAGCTAAACACTTTGTAAGTTGTAATACTTTAACGTAGCTATTTACGATTCACGAAGACTGAAATATGTGGTTTCTGTGGCTCAGTAGCCGATACCTTAGAAAATCAATAGTTGAAAAAGCTGATATTATATAAAAATCAGAATTTCAATGGCGTAACACAAGCATGCAATAAATTTTTTTTATTTATATTATTATAAAGTTAAGTTCTTTTTATCAATACACTCATTAATTTCTTCCGCGATTTGTTACACGTTTAATATAACTTAACTCAGTGGCGCGGCAGCCCATGAAGGCCAAGACCTACTGTGCCCAACTCAGTATACGCGACCTTGAACCTTGAGGTGCATGAGCAGATGTTTCGGTCAGGTGGTCAGTCTAACCTTGAAACCCTCCAGTGTTAAGTTCCCAAGCAAGCTTGGTACTTATTCATTTATCGATCCACCGAAGGGATGAAAGGTTGAGTCAACTTTGCCCAGCTCGGGGTTTGAGCCTCGGACCTGTGGCGTGGAAGCGCGATGCGCTAACCACTCAGCCATTGAGCTTCATACAATTAATATGGAAACATAATATCGATTTCTTTTGGAATGAAGATTTTTAACAGCCTTGCGTTTCATTGAGTTTTTTTGACAATTCATTGTCAAACGTAAATAAACTTGTACTACAAGTCATATCTGTTATTACTAAGAGAGCCATTTTAAGAAAGAATAATATAGTAATGTAACAGTTTCTTCCTCTTGGCACATTAACCCTTTAAGCTGTTTGCCCGTACGCTGTACAGGCACGCACACTGATATTTTCTTTCTTTATTTTATTTGCGCTTATTTTTAATTCTTATGATATAATATTCAGTTCTAGTATTTTGAAAAGATGATGCAGTTTGTCTATGGAACTGAAATTATTTTTGTTCGGCA